CCCAAAGAGTTTCCTAACTTCAGAAATTTCCCAAATTGGGATCTGAGAAGTGGTTTTTGCTCACCATTTCGAAGATCGTTAGATCAGCAAAAAGCTGACTGGTTTGATTATTTTGCATATGGCATAAATGGCACATTACGTCATGTGAGTCTGATAGTACGTGGTGTGAATGAAATTATGAGTGACAGTGTAGTGCAGGTTTCTAACAATGTAATTCAAGGAACTTCTGATTCAATGGGCATGTTGGTAAAAGGAGTGAGAGAGCACATCATTAGGCCTGTCTGGGACGCTCTGTTCTGGCCTCTCTGCGCTCTCGGATTAATGTGTGGGGTGATTATTTTAATAATCGGTATGATTTTGGCCTGTAAAAACAACAAATGGCAGTTGACAGGAAGAAAGCTGTTAGGAGAAAGGAAAAAGGATCTGGTAGATCCAGATAAGATGGGAAGAGAGGTGTCAAGGTAGAGGGAGCATTAGCCCCCCTTCTTGTTGCTCCTGTTTAAGTGCAGGCCTCTCTGCACCGCGTGTCACTTGCTCCTTAACTGTCAGTCTGTAACTTGAAGTGAACCAATGGCTCATCAAACTCACCCTGAATCTGAGCTGATTGACGCTCTGAATCTGGAGGTATGTCAGGATTTTGTAACTATTTTATCCAGTTTGTCTTTAGGATGTTGTAGACATTTCATAACTGGTGTACACTTGTTGTGAGGATTATTGTTGTAAAACTATGCCTGCAGATAGGAATTGTAGTGTGGTTCTTCCTGCAGCTTCTGATGATTTATTTTCTCCTATAATTCAGAAGTGTTTATGCAGTAATGCAGTTACTTATTGCTTCATGGAATGAGTTATATATCTCATGTGGAACAAATTTTATGTTCCTTCCAGATGGATTTGATTCGGCAGAATATCATAGAGGGATTAATCCCCTCCGCAGGTCCATCAACTGTTTTCTCTCTGAATGGCGCATACTATTTGTGCACCGTGAATCGCGGGAGGGATGGATTGCCTCAGACTAAGACAATCGGGCTCCAGTGTGAACATGCTACGATGAATAAACGCTGCGTGTCTTGCAGGTTTATTCAGTACATCCAGACCAAATGGAAAAGGGATTCAAGCGGGAGACTGATCAGGAAGACGACATACTAATGTTGTCCTCCCCGGGAGTAGATGCCCTGCTTGAGCAGGCCCACGACGAGGAGCTGACAACGGCGCCCTCATCTGACGTGGCCGAAGAGGTTGTATCAGTAATGACGGCAGCTTCAACATGCGTCCCGTGTCCTGATGTGATACGTGAAATCCCTATGGTCTGTCTGAGTAGTGAGCCAGCAGGCATTCCTTCCCTTGTCCGAATTGCACCTGGGAGAGAAATGAGATGGAGGATTAAATCCCAGAAGGGGTGTTACTTTGTTTGTCAAGGCAAGATTATAGATTGCTTTCAGTTTATGAATATTTTGTCTGTAAAGACTGGATGGTTCGGCCCAGAAGTCTGTGACTCTTTTGGGACCGCACCTTTGTTGGATACGGAAAATCATGTTTTGGTTTTCAGCGCCAGCTTCCCACCTCAAATGATGGGATCGCTTCCACGTGGAGAAGCTCCGGTGATGGATTTATCTTTATTCTTTTTGGGCGAAGATCCCACAGATGGGAGAAAGCATTTTAAAGGTTATGTAACAACCCGCAAAGGGACCTTGTGCTTACCCGTAGCTGATGATGGCATTATGATGAGAATGAGGGTTGATGTGGAGGCCACAGTTAGGTGTCTGAGTGTTCAGCCGTTCCTGAGTGAGATGGATGCTAGATTTATGAAAGCTTGCATTGCTGCTCTATCTTTTTATGGTCCTTTGCCTCAGTTCGTCCTCATGGGGGATGTTGCAAGCCCGAGCAACCAGTCAAGGCTTAGAAACAGTGGTCAGAGACAAGGGTCACACAAGGGTCAAGAGGACAGGAGTTCAGGACTTGCTGGTGAGGACAGAACTAGGCAAAGGGTCAAAAGACAAGCTGTCTTCTCTAGATCCACCCATGGACACACCCCTGGGCCTGCCCCTAACTCCACCTCTGGCGGGAAAAGAAGGAATGGCATGGAGTGAGGAGAGGTCCAGCTGGACCCAGGAGCTCTCAGGAATGCTGGAAGAAGATCTACAATTTGCTACCAATATGAAGATTTATGACCTGTGCTCTCATTCCAGGAGTGCAGAATGTAACTTTTGTGCCCTCATGTGAATACTGCATGTAGTGAAATGATACTAAATGTCTTATGTAGAGCTAAAAAAGTGTATCTGGTAGATGACCCCTTGACCTAAACTGTCAGGAGAGAATGACTTGTGACTCTTGCATTGTTTAGAGCAGTCTCAGAAATGATATAAAAGGATGCAGCTCAGATCGAGCGGGGGTCTTGTTCTTCAGTTCTTGGGGAGATTCTGAGAAGACAAGAGCTGGTGTAAACTGACTCTTATTTAATCATTTTGAACTAATCCCTCCGTGGGGGATAGCAGTTGTTTTTTACTTTACCCATTTTTGTATTTTGATTTTGTAATAAACCTTTTTTGAAAAAGAAACATAATCCTAATTCTTTCAGGTTTTCTCTAAAGCTTCACGTTTGGAGCCCTGGCCATAATTGCACAGAGGTAAGCATGTCGAAGATCGGTCTCTGAATTATCAGGACTTACTTTGCAGTTTATAACAGAATAATATAAAGAAACCTTAAGATAAGGGAAGTTTTAACTTCTCTCCCCTTGCGAGTAACGAGTTGTCTTAAGGGTGATAAAAGCAAAATATTCGAGGTTATTTTGGCTCTGATTGCAGGTTGAAAAAGTCTCTAATCAGCTGGAAGGTTGGATTAATAAATAAATTGATAAACTTATGTTAGCCTGATCAACTAGCATAAATCATTTTATAGTTACCAACCTCCCACATAAGCTGTTAGAGGCGCAATTAATTCCGGGTAGCCCAAACAATTGCTGAGAGGCTTGGCTTGCCTCCAGACTTCTCTCTAGTATCTTAACCAAAAGGTAACGAGTTTAAAAGAAGTGTAGCACTCTGAGGCTGGCTATTCGTGCAAGTCATTTCACCTTTAAAATAAAAGACAAGATTCTAATTAGGTAGTCCAAACCCGGGTCTGGTACGATTATACTCGTCGATACACCCCCGAACCCTGATGGATGCACCGTCTCATAAGTTCTAACGGAACTGGGTTTTAAAGGAACCGGTAAATGGGACGGGCACACGACAAGATGAGCTAATAATACCATTCTTTAAAATGAAATCATAGCAGTTTATGCAAGTGCTACTTGCAATCCTTTACATTTTCAAAAACTTTTCATTTTGTGTCTAGTTTGACAAATTAGAGACGTTAGAGTTGCTGTAAGGTGGCAGAAAGCCTTTGGGACTGGTCCCCTGCAGCTATTGGCTGCTTTGTTCTATTAAAACCCTCCTCCGGTAACTTAAACTGGGATTGATCTAAGAGCTAAAGCCACTTCAAAAGATCTGAGCTAAAATTTATCTGATGCACTGTAAACATAAAAGGAATTTTTTTTTATAACATATTTTTCAAGTCTCCAGTCCAGAAGATTGGAGACTGCGACAAAACGAGGCAGTGGAAAACCCCTCCCAAAGCAGAGACATTCAGGGATCCATCCTGAGGAATGTTAAACACTCTCAAATGTGGGGAAAATGGAAACAGTATGGAATGAAAACGAAAGATGTGGTTTTCTGGTGTTTTTCTCCAACATGTTTGATGTTTATGAGTATTTTCAGGTTAAGGAGAAAAAGAGGAAAGTAGTGTTGAAAATGTGTTTTTAGTCACTTTGCATTGTGACTCGTTTGCATAGATTTGTGCAAAAACAAGAACTTGACATTGAAGCTTTTTATTTTTACCACTCTGCTTCAGATCCTCCGATATGTTAATACAATCAGAGGGATGGTTTTGGTGCCTGGTTGTGGTTTTGTGGTCACTTGGTTGAGGAAGTGGGTTTCTGTAGAGAGATGTAATCCCAGCAGTATTCATGATTAATATCACTCAGGAGGAGGGCAAAGAAAAGGTTGTGTATTGGCTGAAAATGGGGAAAGCGTGTGCCAAAAAGGGTCAGCAAAACTGAAACAAAGGGGTCCGAAACAGTTCGTGAGTTGAGACAAATGCTTTGCACATGAGTCCTGGTGTGCAGATCTTTGTGTCCTTTCTCTTCACTACTGAAAGGGGAAAGGCCACAGGGACAACCGCTTTTCTGCTTCCTTAAACTTGCTTTTAGATGGATTTTTGGCTGACTTTTAAAAAGTGGACAAGAGGCCTTGTCAGCGGAGGAGGACATTTGTTTTCAACATGTCTCATAACCCAGAAAAGAGCACCTGCAATGGACACTTGTAGTGAAAACCAACCAGAGCCTTTTCTGATCACTCTGTAACAACACGTGCTTTTGATCACATGATAATCACAATAGAGAGGATCATTTCACCAAGCTGAAGGCATCCTTTAAGATCTGTGATTGATCAGAGTGTTTGGTCCGGGGTGGTGGTTGCTGGGAGTCTGGGGTCGTTGATGCTCACCCAGCTGCATGTTGAGTCTAAATGGAGCTTATGTCATTTGGTCAGCCTCCCAGAACCAGAGGGCACTCACTGGCAAGAGCCACAATTTGAATAACAAGTGTTCAGGAACAGCCACACAAGGGCAGGGGACAACAATGGAGCCCGTTTGTCTGCTGAGCCCCAGCTTCACACATGGGAGGGTTGAATTTAGCCTGTAGAGAAACTAAAGGCAAAAGATTTAAAATTTAGATCATAAAAATCTGAGCAAGTTGCAAAAATCCTGCTGACGTGCTTTAAATGAAAAAAAAATCCAAATGATTCAAAGCAAGATGTGTTCGTTTCTTGGATCAAATTGGTATAAAACCCCAACAGCCAGTTGTGAAGCCACGCCCACTGTTCCATGTGAGGCTTCGCGTCGGTTCTGCAGCCCTCCCATGGGGCGTGGCTATGAAAAACACATATAACCCCACATGCTGCGATCTCAACTATTCAGGTGCCATGCGCTCTGAAGGGATTTACGTTTGCGTTTGTTTTTAGGGAGCCTCCTCACCATATGGACGTTGTGTCAGTCGTTCCTCGCGCAGCCTTTTAGTTTCTAGTCTTCAATTTTTAGTTTAATCATGAAAAATAATGGAAAAAAGACAGTTATCCCTGTAGCCTGCACGGTATGTCTCTGCCTGCTGCTGCTGCTGGTCGTGGTGCAGCATCACCGGGTCCAGGTGACGGACGGAGAGGACACCGCCGCGCGCGCTGCGCTCCAACATGAGGTGGCGCAGGAGGAAAGCGCGCAGCTCGGGAGCGATCAGGAGAGGAGAGGATTCTCAGCCTACTTCACCAAGCTGACGCGTGGACGGAGGGAGGTGGAGAAGCCTACACGCTCCCCCACCGCCACCGACGACCCATCTCCAGCTGAGAACATCAGTGCGGATGACATCTTCATTGCTGTGAAGACCACCAAGAAGTTCCACCAGTCCAGACTCAACCTGCTCCTGGAAACGTGGATCTCCAGAAACACACAGCAGGTAGAAGCTGTTTTAATAAATGTGTGTATTTGTATCCTCCAGAGAAGGAAAGCAGGTGATGAAGGTCTACACAAAACCATTGTTCATCTTGTCACCGCTGGGGCAGCCCTGGATCCCCCCCTGCTCTCACTTTTTATTCTCTTCTGAGTGATGTCCCTGAGAATGGAGCCAGCGGTTCCAGGACTCGCTTTTCTCCTCCTTTCACCCCCCTCCTCTCTCCCCTATTATGTCTCCTTTAGAGAGGTGGGGGTGCTGTCTCTGTGAAAGCCCCCGGTGCAATGGATGCTTCACAGCACCGACTGCAGCCCCGTTCCCCTTCCAGGACTAACAAAGCCTCTTTCTGAAGGGGAAGAAAGGCTTTGCAGCTCGTGCTCTCCCCCACTGTTCATGGGAACGTGGGAGCTGGGTCTGAGTCAGGCTGCTGGAGGGATGGGGAGGCTTCACTGAGGGGGGAACTGGGACCAAAAGTGGTTAAAGTGATTTGATCCTGCACCTTAAACTGCTTTAGCTTAAGTCTGTTAAAATATAACCTCATTTTCTCCTCAGGTTTGAGGCATTTCTCTTGTCGGAACACATTTGGCGTCAACAATTACAATGATAATGAGTCTGAACTGTTTGCTCTGCTCTCACTAATGATCCAACCATGCTCTCAACACCTCATCATTTGTGAGCTGTTTGTGCTAATTGGCTTCCAGCTACTGTCCTGGATGATGTTGGTTAACCAAGTGCTAACAGCAGGCCAGAGAGGCAGACAGCTGGCGGGTGGCTGCAGAGACATAAAGGACAGGCTGAGCACCACAATGCAGGAGGGAGTTCCAGCAGGAAGGGTGCCAGGTGGTCAGGCGAGAGGGAACAAAGGACGACCCTAATGCCAGCCATATGATGCTTGGAGTTCCCATCATGTGCATATGGTCATCCTCTGAGGTCTGGTTTGATTCTCACGCTCAGCTGACGAACATTTGTGAGGTTTGGGTCACTTTTATAGAAGGGTAGAAAAAGGCTGGTCTCGTGAAAACAGAACAGAAACAGATAGAAGCCTATTGTTTGTGATTTTTATGCACATTGATTACAATCTGTGGCTGTTTGTGATTTCTAATCATTTTAATCTTTTGGCTTTCGGAACAAAAATAAAAACATCTTTTGTACACTTTGTAAATTGCAGACTTCCATAGAGAGAAAGTTTAAATTTTCTTTTGTACTTTATGAAATCTGCAAATCTCCTGCTCCTCTCCCTCTGTCTGCTTGTGGAGACATCGAATCATTCTCCAGGACAGCTGCACTGCCATCTTCACGGTGGCGTGCCCTGCTTTAGGATGGCGATAATTAGCCGGCGCTCCAACAATGAGAGCCTGTAGGCTTTAGGCGAAACACTTGGAGCTGCCGTTGAGTTAATGAATCATCTTCAGTGTGAATAATTAGACACAAGTGGTCAGTTTTGGCTCAGAGTCAAAGTTCTTATGCCTCCACTGAAAATCCGTCTCCTACAGAAGGTAGAAGGGTGGAGGCGGTGGATGGAAAGACGGGAGCCTGGTGCCCTTCCTTCCTGTGGAGCTGGAGACAGCCAGCCAGGCACCACGTCCAGCTCAGACAGGGCCGTACCAGTCTTTCCTGTGGTCTGGACTCCATTGCCCCCCCCCCAACCTTTACACCCTTTTGCCTCTTATCTATATCTCACAAACATTGTTTTTGCCCTTTCCAATTGTTGTTTTGGTTTGATTTTAAGTAAAAGGTAACCAAACCTTTAAATTTCAGTTATGAAACAATGAAAGAAAAAAAAACCTTCCCAGGGAGCTTTGTCTTCCTTAACTCCTGCAGCTGTATGCAAATGCCTGCAAACATGCTCAGAATGTGCCCAGTGGAGGCTTTATCCAGCATGAAAACTCACAGCATTGTTCAAATCAAGAGCCTCTGACTGGGGCTAGAAATTGGGGGGGTTGAACGGCCACACACGGTTTTTGATTTACTAATCAGGAGTGAGATTCCCGCCTCCCCCCTCCTCGTCTCGTCTCCCTTTTCCGTCAGTACCCTGGCAGCTCTGGCAGCTGCCTCTGTGATTAGGCCGTCCATTCAGCAAGCCTTAGAGCAAACGGCGCCAGCCTGTGGTCCCTTCACCAGTCAAACCCTCCCTTAAACAAATACAAGCCCACAGCTTCGACGAACATCTGCTGGACATTTAGCTTCACAAACTGCCGAAGCGAGCTCGCCTTCGAAACCGCGAGAATCCCAAAGTTTCCTTTTAATTCTGCAGAGTTAGACGTCAACGCAGGAACGAGGGGTTTAACTGACGGGAGGCACCACGGCCCGACGTGCCCAGACACGTGGACTCGATAAGGGGGCGTGGTGTTCGACAGGTGCTGAGGTGAAGAGTAAACAGACCGCTGGCGGTTACAAAGTCCTCCAGCCTTTTCATCGTCACCTGCTCGGTGTGAGCGCTCATGCAAGGTGGCCTTTGTTGTTCACCTCTTTTATGACTAATTGCTACATTGAAAGGTCTGGTGGTTTGACTCCTCTGAAGTTATGAGTGTATCAGTCACACAGCTGTTGGGACAAAGAGGGTTAGGAGAGGGTGTGTATCATACGGCATGTTGACTGTAACTTTTTTACAACCACCCTTCAGCAGAGCAAGCGCACGGAGACTCTGCAGCAGGCCCTGCAGGCCTCCGTCAGAGGACGTGATGTACATGAATGGAGTGTGTGTGGGAGGCGGACAGTCTGCCTCTGCTTTTGTGGGTTGTCTGGGATGCTTCGGGGCGGCTGCACGGTTGCCATGGAGAGAGTAAAACGTGGGACAAAAGGCCTTTATCAGAGCAGGGGGCTGTTTAACTCGGCGTGTTTTCCACCGCATAAAAGACACGTTGATTGATGCTAATCACAGCAGCTGGACGCGAGGAGTAGGACGTACGTTTGATCGTGTGACAGATTCACACGATTGGCCAAAGTTTTTATTACAAGTCTGTGATTCTCTTTTTTATTTTGCAGACGTACATCTTTACAGACGGGGAGGATGAGGAGCTAAAACAGAAAATTGGTAAACTATATTATTGGTGATTTTCATTCTGGGAGCAGAAATGTTCTTTGTTGGATTTTAAAAGTCGGCAGAAACAAAAAACAAATCACTTATTAAACATCGGAAATATTTCCTTTGGGCTTAAAGGCTATTTGTTGATGCTGGCTCATAAAAATATTTTTCTTTTTTTTTTTTTTTTTTTTGCAGGGAGTCATGCAATCAACACCAACTGCTCTGCAGCTCATAGTCGACAAGCGTTGTCCTGCAAGATGGCGGTGGAATACGATAAGTTCATCGAATCTGGGAAAAAGTGAGCGTCACATTTAGGAAGCAGATTGCTGCCTAATTCAAATATCTGTATATCTAACTGTCTCCTCCTTTTCTCCTCCGTAGGTGGTTTTGTCACGTAGACGACGATAACTACGTGAATGTCCGGACTCTGGTGAAGCATCTGTCCCAGTTCCCACACACCCAGGACATGTACATTGGTAAACCCAGTCTGGACCGGCCTATAGAGGCCACCGAGAGGCTGGGGGGCAATAAGATGGTACGTTACAGTACAGTATGTTGGTGTCGGATACTACAGAGTTTAACCATTGGTTGTTTTTTTTTATTGAACAGAAACCAGTAAACTTCTGGTTTGCAACTGGAGGAGCGGGTTTCTGCGTGAGCCGAGGTCTGGCGCTGAAGATGAGCCCGTGGGCCAGGTGAGGGTTGAATTCAGCAGAACAGTCATTAAAAGTTGTGAGAACACATTGTTTCAAGAATCAGGTCTTGTATAATTTGCGTAAAAATTTTTTTTTCTTGTCTTGTCAGTGGCGGTCACTTCATGAACACAGCAGAGAAGATCCGACTGCCTGACGACTGCACCATCGGTTACATCATCGAGTCGGTCCTGGGGGTCCCTCTGACCCGCAGCAACCTGTTTCACTCCCACCTGGAAAACCTGCAGCAGGTGTCGAGATCTGAGGTTCACAAACAGGTACAGCCCATCTTTTCGTCCACCCTTAAGTGTCCCTCATGAACTGAAGAAGGCATCTGTCATGCTCTTTCTCCTTTACACCCAGATTACTCTCAGTTATGGGATGTTTGAGAACAAAAGCAATATCATCAACTTGAAAGGGGCTTTTTCTGTAGAGGAGGATCCGTCAAGGTGAGAACCACACTTCATCCTCTTATAAAACTACAGATTTAAACACAAATCTCTCCACTTGTTCTAAAATAAAATGTTTTATTTTATTTTAATTACCTTAAAAGACTCAAAGTCTCTTTTTACACTTTATATTTATTTAATCAGGATCGTTGTCAAGTCGACGCCAGAAACAATGAAACACAACTTGAATATCAGATGAACAACAAGGCTTTATTCAACCGGCATTCATACAAGTTATCAATCATGAACGAAACATTTCTCTTACCGTTGCTTATGGGTGGAGAGCTGAACACCCCAGTTAGAAAACGTAATCCATGATAGGTGAAGAACTGAACACATGTAATCCATGAACCTCGTCAGGTAGAATCCTTCAAGCAGCTCTAACCCCCCTGAGCCCTGCTCTGCTCCTTATACATTCCCTGATGTGCGTGCAAAGCTGCACACCTCCACCATGATTACCTTGATTACATCCTCATGATCACATTATGTTCGGCTCTACCATGATTACCCTTGATTACATCCTCATGATAAGTGTGATTGACAAACAGTAGTGATCAATAACTTATATAAAGCAATTATACAACAGATGACAAGTTCATTTTTATTACACCACTAATCTTGCCCTTTTGTCTCCATCCTGCAGGTTCAGGTCTGTGCACTGTCTCCTGTACCCAGACACGCCCTGGTGTCCCCCGCTGGTTGCCTTCTAGGGCGACCGCTCCTTTCTCATCCTCGTCCCCGCCGTGCCTCGGTATCTGTCAGGCCCGCGGGGACCCGTGTTTGGTGTCGGACTGCGCGGCTGCCGTGTTCTCGCTGCAGCCATGCGTGGTCTTTAATGGTTTTACTAGGCTGCTGTGCGGCCCCTCCTTTTGGACGTTCCCTTCCTCTCTGGAGCCAGGACTTTGTCCCGTAATGCTCAGGCCGAGGGTTCCAGCTCCCGGAAGGAAGTAGCTTTCACTGTTAGGCTTTGCAGGCAATCAGTTGTGCTTTGTATTGTAAATGTTGCTTAAAATGTTTCAGCAATTCTCATAGAATGTATTGTCAAATTTCCGAGCCTTTGGCAAGCTTCTTGTGTTTGCTTTTAAACGAAAGCCGCCCTGGACTAACTCTGGCTTTGAGGCTTTCATTAAGGAACTTCTCTTTCCCAGGCATTTGTTTCTAGTTCTGCTAACTCAAATGACTCCGGATTAATGCTGTAATATGAAGATATTATTGTAATTTTGAGTGAACAGTGTTATATTTCCCACAGCCTGAGATGGCAAGTGGCAGATTTCCAAATGCTTGGTTTAAGGACCCGATCTGAGGTATATCAGGACAAAGCACTTTCACTTTTTTAAATATTTAATGAGTAACTGACCTAGTTTATGTCCTCTCACGGCATACTTCAGATCTGTGTCCAAAATCAGCAAAAAGAACCCCCTTAAAATCTCATTTTCTCTTCGTTTCTGTGTATTTAATAACATTCCTTGCATTGGTTACAATCAGGGAAAAGCAATGGAGGGAAGAGATTTTGCTTTGGGGAGTCAATCAGCTTTGAAAATCTTTTTTATTTTAGTTGTTTGAAAATTGCACAGCTGTGTTTCAAATGAGCTGATGTTGGTTTGTCACCTCTAAAGGCACAACGGTGGAGAGTTACCAGCTTTTATTTAAAGTGTTTCCTTTCAGAGGCTCTGGATTTGCTTCATCTGATCCAGAGTCTGTATTTTACAGCCACATGAATTCAGCTGGTTTCTGTTGTTTCCTGAGAGGTGAGAGCAGCATCTGTGTTTCCACATTGAGGTTTTTGTCCCCTCTGTGACTCTTTAGCCCATATTGGGTTAAACGCTGCATCTTTACAGCAGTATTGTGTACTGCACCTTTAGTTCAAACATGTAGTGACTGTAAATGATTAGTATGTAATAATCTCATTGTGGTTTTTGCACGTATTTCATGATCTGACCAGGATGTGCCCTTTACGTTTGAGCTGTGCTGTGTGACGGTGTGTATTCTCCAGTATCTGGAGGGTTTGAACAGTTCATTCCCAATTCTGACTTCTCAGGGATTCTGAGCTGATCCTGGTAATCACATGGAGCCCATGGTGGGATCTTAAACGTTGAATAAAAGTGCATAACCACTATGAAAACTTACACTCTTTGTTGTGTTTTTATTTGTTGCGTCCAGATTTGAATCCCAAAAGAAAAAGGAGAGCAGTTTGACAGAAACCTTATTTTTGCTCAAACTTTTTTTCTCTCATTTCAAGAAAGAGAAAATATTTCTAAATTAACAAACGTCACGCAGTCCTAAATCACAAGGATTTTGCTCTTTTGTCATATTCATCCATTAACCTGTAGCATGAACGTTTAGAAAACCAGAGATACACAAGGTTTTAGCCCAACTGCATCAGTTGGTGGATAATCAAAGTTATTAGAGACATTTTGGGCATTTAGTAGAAAAATGATAAATAAGCACTAGCTCACCTGTTGTAGAGGGCATCCTGAACAGCCTCAGTTTGAAGAAACATGGTTTCTGACCAAAAAGTTGTCAGCTACTTTGAGCAGAGCTGAGAATTTGGTGATTAGTGTCATTTAAAACAGCTTCAATCTAGAAAATGCCAGTGGCTCATGCATTTACGCCATCGCCAGTTGTCTATTACATTGCAATTTTGACAGATATATAAATAATCTGCCAGACTTGATCCTGGTGATGTTTCTGCCCATAATTCTGTGTTTGCAATGAATGCAACCTCACCTCTGGTGTAAAGTCTTAGAAAGCATCTCAATCACTTGAAATTTTAGAGATTTCAGCTGTTTTCAGTTATCACAAATACACATTGGTCTTAGCTGTGCTAGCCATTAGCACACCAGTCCTTTAGGTCACATCTGCACTTTTCCAAACTGAGGCTGTTCAGGAAGCTAATAAACAATGGGCATTGTAGACATCATTTCAGAATCAGAATCAGAAAAGGTTTATTGCCATTGTTAGTGAACAAACGATTCACAAACTAGGAACTTGCTTCGGTACTAACGTGCTACATATAACATGAATAATATAATTAAAAAATAGAATAAAGTAGAATAAAATATAATAAACTAGCATAAAACTTTGCTACGACCAAAACTTTTCTACACAGAAACACTACAAAGTGACTAACGTCAGGAAACACTCAAAATCAAAGAGCGGAAAAAGGAGCAATTTATTTACTTCAAGTACTTTTATTTTATTCCATTCAATATACACATACTAGATACACATACTAGATACACATACTTGTTACTTCTCTAAAAATATATTAGAGTATTTCTATTTTTTTCTGGCAACTTTACATTTCATGTCCTTCTAACAAAATATTAGGCTTGAAGAAACCTAAGATAGAGAACCACGATGGTCTCATTCACACCTCAGTAAGAAGTTTGCTTCTGTCTGTAGACTAATTCATCTAATTTATCAGCTTATCCATCAGTCAGGCCAGTGGTTGTTCTGGTCTCTGCCTTCACCTCTTGTGCATGAGTGTTATAGTGGAGAAGTACTCTGTAAATCCAGCCTCTACAATGTGTAAAGAGACAAAGTGTAGTTTTTATCATTACTTCCTGGAAATATCCATTGAAATGTTGTTGAAAATGAATGAAATGATGCCCAGTTGTTGGCTTCGTAACATATAACCATAAAAATCAAGTCTAACACATGGGAGTGGGTCTAAGTCTCTGGGCGACGCCATGTTAGATTCCATGTATCCTTCTACAGGAGCCTGTGAGGACAAAATGCATTTATTGATTTGTAACCAACAGTTACAAAACCTTAGCCTAGTGAACTAGACCAAATTCTTGCTTTGCAAAGTTTGGTCTAGCAACGCTCCACTGGAACCTCTGCAGCCCCAACAGCATTCTGGCTGGCCAATCACAGCTCTCTAGAGGGGTTTCAAACACATAAAGAGCTGTGATTGGTCCATAATGGTGGGTCAATCATAGTGCTCTATCTGCTTAGTGAACAAATCACAGAGCTTTATCCGCTTTGTGGGCCAATCAGGGCACTCTATGTGCCTGGTGGGTGGGATGATGCAACAGAGTGAAACAAGAGTATGTCACATTCTTTGTCCAGTAGCATGCGGAGATCATTTGAAAAACAACGGTAGAACCCGCCCCACAACCGAGAGCCGTCAATGGAGCGTTGCCAGACTAAATAATACATTTATTTAGTCTGGCTTGGCTGACAAAACCTTTGTCTTTCTTAAATGTTGTTGTTTTACGCATTTGCCTCTTCACTTGTTGCCAGCGATCAAACGAAGTCTGATGTGCTTGCTGAAGTTTGCACTCCCCAGGGCTTTTTGACCCTAATGGGCATCCATTGGTAAGGTCTTACTCCAACACAAACATACTGCTTGCTTGCAACAGTTTAGGTATCAACTACCCCCTATCACCAGGAAAAACACACACTGTCGTTACTATGTCTGCAATAGATAATTAATTACAGACTCACTAAGATAAAGACAACAACGTTTCTCTTACTAAATAAAATATTTACTAGGAAATCACAATGTAGCCATAGAAATTCTACTTGGTGTATATGTTGGGTGTTCTCTCCAAAAAACATTGGGTTGAAAACAACCCAATTCTAACCCAGCCACTGGGTAATTAGTGGTCCCACCCAGTACTGGGTTATTTTAACACAGACATAAGTTATATTTGTAGTGTATGACTACAGATGTCTTTTGAGGTTTGATTACGATCAATAAGATTTGATGATTTCCATGTGAATATAGAAAAATCAACCTGATTGGTCTTTGAATGTTTAACCAGAAGAATTCGAATTCTTTGTTTATTCAGGGATCGTAAGGCACTTCGTATCAATTCAGACACAGTCAAGTTTATAAAAAGTAAGAAATTTATTTTCTAAACAATTAAAAACATGACAGCTAGGAACACTTTATGTGATGAATGAATTTAAGTGGATGGAATGTGAGGTGCGATGACGTGAATGTGATGTTATCAGAGCCTTCGTATCTGGAGAAACTGAGTTCTGAGTGGGAGTGAATTTGGTCTGCTGTAAACTATAAGTGATGGTTTATAAAACCACATCAGACGCAATCTGTCGAGTCTACGTATCCTCTCGGAGACCCCCGTGATAGATCCGGGATGTGTTGAAGTCCGGGGACCCCAAAGGTACCGAAGTCCGTTGAAGAAACCGCTGTGCCGACTAGACCGGTCTCGGGATGTCTCCAGGTCACGACAGTTGTTTTTTGCGTCTTAGGAATAACTCTTAAGGAGTTCAGCTGGTTCAGCTTTATTCTGAACCGTTTGCGGTCAGCTGTAGCGTGCAACAGGTTTTGACAGCTTGTCAAAAGATGCGCTGGGTTAAAGAGGTTTTGCTTCGGATGGCCGGTCCGAAGCTTTCTCAAGAACTGACTCACTCAGGAAGTGAGTTGTGTTTTAACAACGGCCGTATTCCAAACAAACCTCAGAACATCAGATAGAAAAGCTCTGACGTGGATCAAGAAACCTCTACGTGCAGTGAAATGTAACTTTAACTTGCGTCATGGAGATACGGTGTGTGTGTGAGCTGTCAGTAGATAGTGATTCACTTGTTAAATCAACTTACTGATCATAACATAATAATATTCATTTCAACTTCAGTAAATTAAGCATAGATTAATCACACATTAATATTATTATTCATATAACATTTGTTCATTCAACCATATTATTATTTAATGATTATTTAACTTATGAGTTGTAAAAGTTCATCTTTCATGAGAGTGTGCGATCCTGTAGTCTTATCAAAACCAAGAATTGTTTGGGAACATAGGCTGACATCTCCCCCCCCCCACCCCCCCACCCCCCCCCCCCTGAAATGTACACACACACTGCAGAATCTTCTGGCTTGTTGGGAGATTGAAATTAAAATCCACTTTAGAGGATGGAAGTATGTCTACAGATGACCGATGGCATGTAGGTCAATATGTAGGTGAAAAATGACCATTTCTGGACGTTACATACCGGTATTATATGTAATAATTGTTGGGTATTTATTTTCAAAGCATAATTTAAGTTATTTTAACCATCATTGGTGGATTATAATGACCTAACTGATGACTTATTTTGTCTATACCATTTACCTCTTTTATCTAATCACTAGATGTTGATAATTACAATAAACTGTGAAAAACATCTTAAGCTAGCATGTTTAGCAGATTTGCTATTGCAGCTTTAAGGTAAAATCAACACGTACAGGAACAGAAATGAGCCCTTAGCAGCACCAGAGAGCTTCCATACAACTATAGGGATACGCTAATGTAAACAATATTTATGATTCAATATCCCACGGCAATGATTAGAGCATGTTTTTATTTTTCATTTGTAAATTTAAACACACTTTAAAGTATGAAAAAACCTTGTGGGAGCAGCCAGAACTACAGGTCCTGAGATTAGAGGCCTTTCTAGGAATAATCAGTAAAAATCCCCCAGACAAGAGCTATAAATACACAACCAAATGAGCCCATTGTCTATTGGTGTAGACATTTCCTCGCTTAGATAGCAGCTACGGATCAAGAGTTTCTACTAAAAACATCACAGAACTGTGAGAGATTTTTAATCTGGTAATTTTTTAACATAATCTGACTGAGAGACCAAACCTTGGTTGTAGGAGTAATTCCACTTTGTGATGGGGCTATTATCAAAAGACAAAAATCAAATATAACATTTCACGAACCATTATAGTCAGACTAAAGTAAAATACATTTAATGTAAAAACAAAATTACCAGCATTAACAAAACAAGGGACAAGGTGTTTTACTGGAAGGCTAAACACTGGCAGATGTACAACTGAAGCTTTATCATCAAAGCTTAGCATGGGAGACAAATCACTTCCAGCAAACATCCTCACCACAAACCATAATCACAGCTTTGTTTTCCTGAGATGTATAGTGGGAAAACGCTGCCGTCTTTCAAGTGTCCACAGCTCATGTTCCAACGGTTTCGCTCCCCTGCTCCGTTGTCTTCCCTCTGCGTTGACTCATAAAATGTTTTCTATAAATCTGAACAAAAGCTTTAAATCACACATCATGTCAAATAAAACAACCGCTGTAGTTTTATTGGTGGCTTTGAAACATTTATTCAGTGGCAAATCTGTTTTACCAACAGAAGGAAGAGAGAAA